CAAGAGAATGAAACGCTGCCCTGTTCTGTGCCATCCTCACAATTGTTGCTGTGCTTGAGCCCATCACTGAAGCCACTGTGTCAATTCACCTCATTGAGGATCTTCTATTTTGCTGATACCCTTGCCAAGCATGATATCCTTCTCTATGGATTGGTCCCTTCTGACAACATGACCAAAGTATGAGAGAGACAAAGACTAGCCATTCTCACTTCTAAGGAGCATTCTAACTGCACTTCTTCCAAGACAGATTTGTTTGTTCTTCTGTGAGTTCATAGTATTTTCCGTATTTTTCACCAGCACTACAATCCAAATGCTTCAATTCTTCTTCAGTTTTCCTTATTCACTGTCCAGCTTTCACATGTATATGAAGCCATTGAAAGAAAATAACATAGCTTGGGTCAGGCAGCTTTTAGCCTTCAAAGTGACATATTTGTTCTTTAAACAGGTCTTTTGCAGCAGATTTGCCCAATGCAATACTTTGATTTTTTTTTTTTTTTTTATTTTGATTTGGGTGAAGATTTACAGAGTAAATTCACTTTTCATACAGCAGTTCACATATATTTTGTCTCATGTCATTGACCAAACTTTACAATGCAACAGCTCCCCTCCCACTTCCTCCCCATAGTTACCTAATACTTTGATTTCTTGACTGCTGTATCCATGAGCATTGATTGTGGATCCCAGTAAAATAAAATCCTTGTTAACTTCAATTTTTTTTTTTTCATTTATAATGATGTTGTATATTGATCCAGTTGTGAGGATTTTTGTTTTCTTTATGTTGCAGTATAATCCATACTGAAGACTGTAGTGTTCGATCTTCATCAGTAAGTGCTTCAAATCATCTTTCAGCAAGCAAGATTGTGTCATCTGCATATCACAGGCTGTTAATGAGTCTTCTTCCAATCCTGATGCCACATTCTTCTTCATACAGTCCAGCTTCTTAGATTGTTTGCTCAGCAAACAACAATTTATTCAAGAGATTGAATAACTATGGCAAAAGGGTGCAACCTTGACTCATACCTTTCCTGATTTTAAACCATGCAGTTGTTCTGTTTGAATGACTCTCTTGGTCTATATATAGGTTTCTCATGAGCACAATTAAGTGCCCTGGAATTCTCATTCTTCACAATAAACCAAACCAAACTCACTGCCATGGAGTCAATTCTGACTCATAGAGACCCCCATTGAGTTTCCAAGGCTGTAAATATTTACCAAAGTAGATTGCCTCATCTTCCTACCATGGAACAGCTGGTGTGTTTGAACTGTTGACCTGGTTAACAGTCATATGTCTTACCCACCAGTGCTCCCTGTTCTTTGCACTATGATCCATAATTTGTTATGATCCACACAGTATATCTTTGCATAGTCAGTAATACACCGGTAGGCTTATTATAAAGAAAGGAAAATATAAATTGAAGAGAAAGGCAAGAGGATTGCTGAAGTCTTCAGAGCACTAGATTGTCACAAGAGTCATCCAAGGCTCAGATTCATTGCCTAGGGATGGGGGAGGGGTCTGCTGCAGGGTTTCCTGGGAGTCAGTTTCTTTGCAAATCCTTTAGGATCTTTCTTGACTGACTTTCCTTCTCTGGCTCCCACCCCTCTCCTACTCCTTTGGGCATTCCCCCAAGGTATTAGACTCCCATTTCTCTTAGTTTCCACTGCCATCCATCCTTAGGCTCCTAGCTCCCACATCTGCACCCAACCCAGACACTTCCCCTGAGCCCTAACCTCTACAATCACTACCCTGTAGGTCACACACACCTTGACAAAATGGAATTTTGCTTTTCTTCCTGCCAAAATTTGTTCCTCCTCTTCCCTTTTCCCACCAGGGATCACCATGGACTTTGGATGGAAAAACGAAGGCTCTGTCCTGGCAGAGGGGTGGGGTAGTGGTGAGTTAGCTTGGGGACTAGTAGGAAAAGTCTAAATTAGATCAAACTCTGAACCTAATACTGTAGAAGGGATTTTTAAGGGAAAAGGTTGAGGGGATGGTGTGCCTTTGAAACAACCAGAGACCCTGGTCAAGATATTCAGAGCTTCTGTGACCATGCTGCCAGTGGGCACCTGGAGCTGATGGAGTTGGAGAAGTAGGAGGCTGTGATAGTTAAGGTTGTGTGTCAACTTGGCTGAACCATGATACTGAGTGGTTTAAGCAGTTGTGGTGTGGTCATTCCCATGATGAGACCTGATGTAAGGTAGTCATCTCCATGGTCCAATATGCTTTGAGCACCCAATCAGTTGAAAGGGAGCTTCCTCAGGGATGTGGCCAGCTTCCGATAAATGTATATATATGGACACCCTGGGAAAATTTGGAAACTTTCTGTTGGATCTGAATCCTGCCAAGCTGCCTCTCATCTTGGATTCATCAGCCATTGCAGCTGAGTGGGTAGGGAAAAGCCTCCAGCTTGATGAACTTGGGACTTGCCAAGCCTCTACAACTGTGTGAGCCATTTCCCAGAAATAAATCTCTCTTTGTCTCTCTCTCTCTCACCTTTACTGGTTTTGCTTCCCTCAGGAACCTAGCCTAAGGCAGTTGCCCTATACATTGGGGACTTGCGAGCTCCTTGTTCTCTACAGCTGCCTAGGAGCCTGGAAGCCTGAATTCCAACCATGCTCTGCCATTGGCTCCGCCCTGCTTCTTTGGGTCTTATTCCTCTTATCTGTACATGGGGGCTGGTGGTGTTGGAAGCGGACCAGATTATCTCAAAAGGTCCCAACAGCTCAAGCTGCAAGATTTTAACAGACTTGAGTTTTAGGGAGAAAACGGTAAATGTGGCTTGGCCATTGGCTTTAGGCCTACACTATGTATCCACCCCCTTGCACCCCCTATGGAGATCTGGCTGCTGCCTACATGCAATAATTAACTGCTGAGTGGCCTTCGCCCGATTCCAGCTCCATTCCCGGGCTCCCTTCCCATTGCCTGCCCCATTGCCCGTCTCCTAGGCCACTAAATCACTGCTGCTCCCTGGAATAAGGCAAAGGTGAGTATAGAGCAGAACAGAAGCCAGAGCCAGACCGAGAGCCACATCCTCTCCCAGGTATGCCGCTCCCCAACCCCATCAGAGGCGTCACACCCTATGATACTCCCAGTATGTGTTAAAGGACTAACTGAGCTGGATGGGCCCTCTGTTTACCTAAACCCTAGAGTAACCAGAAGAGGGAACTGAGGCCCAGACTAAAGTAAACTACAAGTTAGTGTCCATCCCTGAATTGGAACCCAAGGCTCTTGTCTTTCAGCACAGCACTGTTCTTGGCTCTTCTAGTCTGGGGCCCCAAGATTAGGTTAAAGGTGTCATAGTTAGACTAAGATTTGAAGGTGGGACTAGGAGGGTGGAGAGGGGGCTCACAGGGCAATATAGATCACAAGGAGAGGAAGAGAACTCCAGCCCCAGAAAGCAGGCACAGCAAGAGAGACTGCTATCCAATTGGGGTGGGGTCAGCCCTCACCCCTAGCATTTCACCCTCCTCAGTTATCCTGTGAGTGCCAGCACAGTGAAGATGCAGGAGCTCCAAACTTGAGGGTCAGACATGGGTGGTTCCTGCTGTTGACTTTGGGTACCTCTATCAGTGCCCAACTGATTCCACATAGCTCCACTGGCTTTTTTTTTTTTTTTTTCCCCCCCCTTTTCCTACATTTAATCCTCAGATGAAGAAACTAAGCCTTATGATGGGGTTTTTCCCCAAGGTCAAGCAGGAGGTGGAGTAAGGAATGAGTCCCTGGAGGCTAACCTGGAACCTAGTACTCAAAGCTGTTAGCTTTGTTTCCCAAACTAGCCTAATCTAAGGAATCACCTGGTGTTTCCTGAGAGTACAGGTTTCCCTGGCTCTGCTGCTGAGGAATAGTGAGTGCACAGATCAATGAAGGGGAAGATTGGGTCCTGGAATAAATGCGTTAGCAAGTGAGAGAATGAATGAATACCAGAACAAATAGAGTAATGGAATAATGGATTTCAGAAGGGTGGGGCGAGGGTGGGGGAGGAGGAGAGCTGGGTGGGAAATAATTCCAGATTTATCTGAGCCCTTTGGTCTGCCCTGTCAGACAGCCTTACCAAGGGGGCCCAGGCAAGATGCTGAAGTCCTGAAGTTGATGGGGGCCCTGTGGAGGCAGGGTAAGCCACTCACTTTGTGAGCAGGGAAGACGTTTGAGCTTTAGGGAACCCTTATGTGAGTGGGTTAGAGGAGAGCAATGGAGAGGACCTGTGGGAAATTCCAAGCATTCTAGGAAGGGCCAGGCCTGGTGACCATTGATATGGGTCAGATTCATCAGGAAAGGTCACATTCCACAATTCAATGACAGAGGTAAAAGGATTGAGGTGTTTTCAAGGCCAGCTGAGGGGTGTCCAGCTCTGTGGTTGGGGGCTCAGGAGCCTCCCAAGGCCCCAGGGAGGCTGCACCATTCCCTAGAGCCTCTGTGCTCGGTGCCATCCCCCAAGTCACAGTGGTTGCTGCTAGCTGCCATCAAGTCACTTCCCACTCATGGGGGTACTCCATGTGTATAGGTTTTTCAAAGCTGTGACCTTTTGGAAGCAATCTTTCAAAAGGTTGATGATTCAAACCCACCAAGAGGCTCTGCAGGATAAAGACCTGGTAATCTGCTTCCATAAAGATTAACACACTGCCATCACGCTGATTCTAACTCATAGTGACCCTATAGGAACTATCCCATAGGGTCTCCAAAACTATACATTTTTATAGAAGCAGACTGTCACATTTTTCTCCCACTGAGCAGGGCAATATAGGTCACAAGTGAGTTTGAACTGCCGACCCTTTGGTTAGCAGTCAAGCACTTAAACCACCGTGTGGGGCAGTTCTCTGTCACATGAGGTCGCTACGAGCCTGAGTCTGAATCTACTCAATGGCACCAAACAAGGGTAGGGAACTGCCCCAGGCTTCATTGTCCAGGCCCCACCCACCTGGGGCTGTTCCCACCTTGAGGCCCCACCTCCCCACCTCCGCATTCCTTGGTGCCACTGACCACAGCTCTTCCTTCAGAGACAGACATGGCCTGGTTGACAACAACACAGCTGCTGTTCCTACTGGTGTTGGTGGCTACCGCATGGGGTGACCAGTTCAGGACTACGCAGGTCAGGACTGAACTTCTCAATGTCTGCATGAAGGCCAAGCACCACAAGGAAAAGCCAGGCCCTGAGGACAAGTTGCATGACCAGGTGGGCTCTATGGGTGGGGAGGAAGTCTGGAGATGGAAGTGTCTAAAGCCCCAACAAGGTTATTGCTGGCAGGGGTGGCAGGGAGGGGATGTGGAGGCAGGGAGGCCCGACTGAGGAGACTACCAGTTAGCACTAATATGGAGGAGCACGGTTTGAATGAAAAGAGCCTTGGTGGCACGATAGTTAAGTAGTCAGCTGTTAACTGAAAGGTTGGCAGTTCCAACCCCCACCCCAAATGGCTCTGTAGGAGAAAGACCTGATGATCTGCTTCCATAAAGATCATAACCAAGAAAACCCTATGGAGCAGTTCTGCTCTGTCACATGAAGCCACTATGAGTCACTTGATGGTACCCAACAGCAACATGCATTGAACATACTGTGTGCCATTTTCAGTACAAAGCCAACAGCTCTCATTAGTTGTTGGGTTTCTGTATTACACAATTAAGGAAGCAGTCCCAGAGAGGAGCCTGGGGATTGAAGTTGGAGAAACTTGCTTTGGGGGTTGATGTAGGGGCTTGGACTAGAAAATGTTCCTCCAAGGATCTGGGAGGAACAACCACATACAGTGGTTTTCTTTCTTTTTAAAATGTTTATTGTGATTTAAGTAAAGTTTACAGAGCAAAGTCATTTTCCATACAGCAGTTCATACACATTTTATCTCGTGACATTGACTGCAATTTCCCACAATGTAACAGCTCTCTTCCCACTTTCTTCCCATAGTTACCTTTTCCCTGTGTCCTTCCCTCCCATGCAGTCCTGCCCCCTGAGCGGTCTCCCTGTGCAAACACTGCCCATCTATTCTCCCACAATTGATCTCTCCAAGGAGTGTATCTACCTGATGTAAATATTCAGACCATATGCTGAACATCATACAGTGGCTTGCTTTCTGACAGCCCCATACAACTCAACACAGATAGAGGTCCCTCTTAGTCTTGAGGTTGGTGTTCTGGTTACTTAGTGCCTCTCTGACAAGAATATATACTACAAATGGGATGGCCCTAACAAATAGGAGTTTATTCTCTTACAGTTTGGGGAGGCTAGAAGTCCAAGTTCAAAGTGCCAGGCTCTAGGGGCTGTGTGAAAGCCCCTCAACCTTGGGGTCCAGCTTTGCCTCCTGCTCCTGGCCCACTGGAGCTAGAGGTGTTTCTTCACTCAGCTGCTGGCTGCTGAGGCTGAGAAGCCCCAAGATTGGCAAGTAAAAAGGCACAGTCCCGATGTTACCAAACCACATGGCAGGTCATTAACTTAAGTCCATTTTAAGTCCCAAGGTCGGCAGAGCATAGCAGGCTGCTGAGCAACAGCATAGCTACATGTAGGGTCCAAGCGTGCCATAGGATAGAGCCCATTTCCAAAGCTGCTGCTTATATATGAGAAGCAGACCACATACCCAAAGGCAGCTACTCAGCTGCTTGTGGTAGATACCACCGTGGAGTTGATTGCCAGTCTCATCATGAGGAATAACTACCACCAGCTGCCCAGCCAGTCAACCAGGCCCAGCCAAGTTGACACACAAACATAACTACTCCTTGGGTACAAGGAGACTTGATTTATGAATCTAGCATTTACACTGCAAAAGACCTCTTTAAAGTGTTAAGAAGCAAAGATGTCACTTTGAAGACTAAGGTGCACTTGACCCAAATGATGGTATATTCAATTTCCTCACATGCTTGAAAAAGCTGGACAATGAATAAGGAAGACTGAAGAAGACTTGATGCATTCCAATTCTGGTGTTGGTGAATAATATTGAATATATCATGGACTGCCAGAAGAATGAACAAATTCATCTTGGAAGAAGTACAGCCAGAATGGTCTTTAAAAATGAGGATGGTGAGACTTTGTCTCACTACTTTGGACATGTTATCAGAAGGGACCAGTCCCTGGAGAAGGACATCATGCTTGGTAAAGTAGAGGGTCAGAGAAAAAGAGAAAGACCCTCAATGAGATGGATTGACACAGTGGCTGCGCAATAGGCTCAAACACGGCAATGATAATGAGGATGGCAGGACTAGGCCATGTTGCATTATGTTGTACATAGGGTCGTTATGAGTTGGAACCAACTTAACAGCACCTAACAGCAACAACATTTATACTGTGGCTCTAGATCCTGTTGATCCTGAGGTTCCTTTTGCAACAACCCCTTTAATATCATGAATCTAACTATAAGCATGATTTTTAAAAGTCAGTATGATGTCATAACTGTAAAGAAAAAGCAAAAGGAAAGTGCTTTCAATATGTGAGTGATCAACATGACTACACTAGCAGATAAGGACCACAGTCCCCTGTTCACACTGTTGGAATCACTGAGCTCACAGTTCCAAGTGCACACTGACAGGTGGTGGTGTAACTTGAATACCTTGTGCAGCCTATGTATTTTTTTTAAACGTATGAATTTTAATATTTTGTTTTTATGCTAAATTCTAGACTGTGAGTCTAACTTCAATAAGTATCTATTGAATATTTCTTTAACTGGAATAATTCTGAGAACAATCAAAATCAGTTTCCATCAAGTCTATAAGCAGCCATGGTGACACAGTGGTTAAGCACTTAATCAAAGTGTTGGCAGTTGGAACCACCACCCGCTCTGCAGGAGAAAGATGTGGAAGTCTGCTTCCATAAAGATTTACAGCCTTGGAACCTGATGGGACAGTTCTGCTCCGTCCTCTAGGGTCACTGTGAGTCGGAATGGACTCCACAGCAATGGGTTTTTTTTTTTTTTTTTTGGTTTGTCATGTCAATTCTGACTCATGGCAACCCCAATTATGTCAGAGTACAATACACTCCATAGGGTTTTCAAGTATGTGACCTTTCAGAAGCAGATTGCTAGGCCTTCCGAGGCACCTCTGGGTGAATTCAAACCACCAACCTTTCAGTTAGTAGCCAGTGCTTAATCATTAGCACCACCCAGGGATTCCTATTCTAGGGATACAATTTATTTAACTTACTCACTTCCAGATCTTTGTCACCTTCTCAGTGAGGCTTAACCTGACCACCTTATAAAACCATAATTTCTATCTTCCCCTTCCCTGTTGTATTTTTTTCCCTGCTGTATTTTTTCCCTGAAGCACTTATTATGTGATAAGTTAAGTGTTCATGGTTAGCCTCCAGTCTCAAGAAAAGTGCCTGAGTTAGAGTAAATAGGAAATCAATAAAAATTTCAATGAATGTATTCAGTAATGACTGTACCTCCTGGCCCACCAGCCACTTCTCGGAAGGAAGGTTGGGCAATCTACTTCTGTAGTGATATCGCCTTGGAAACCCAAGGAGGGATCGCTATGACTCGGATCAGACTTGATGGCAGTGAGGTTTTTTTTTTTTTTTTTGGTACCTCTTGGCAGTTGTTCCCCCCTGAGCCCCCATAACCTCTGGAAACTTGCTCCTCCAAAGAAGGCCACTATAGCAAATATTTCCACAAAAGGTTTTGACTGGGTTGGGGAAGCAAGGACTAGATGGGGAGAGGCTATATGTGGGAATTTTCTGGCCATTGTGGGCATGGAAGTTAGTCCCTGTGTCTTCCCACTCCAGTGCAGTTCCTGGAAGAACAACTCCTGCTGCTCTATCAACACTAGCCAGGAAGCTCACAAGGATATTTCCAGCCTGTACAGATTCAATTGGAATCATTGTGGAAAGATGGAGCCTGCCTGCAAGTGGCACTTCATCCAGGATACCTGCCTCTATGAGTGCTCCCCCAACTTGGGGCCCTGGATCAAACAGGTATGAGTATCCTTCTCAGCACCCCAACTCAGCAGAGGAGCCACACTTTCCAGACATTTCTACATGTTTCTCCTCCACCCTCTCTCCAGTTCCAACTCTATGATTTTTAAGCCTGAGTCTTTCTTTTCTACCAATGCTCTTCAGGTGGACCAGAGCTGGCGCAAAGAGCGGATCCTAGACGTGCCCCTGTGCAAAGATGACTGTCAGAGCTGGTGGGAGGACTGCCACACCTCCTACACCTGCAAGACCAACTGGCACAAGGGCTGGAACTGGACCTCAGGTAAGGGCTGATGTGAAGGCTTGGTGGTGAGGGGCTTAGTGTAGCGGTATGGAGTGGGTACATATTTAGGTATGTATGGCTGGTGGAGTCAGAGGCAGTTCTGAGCCTTTCTGAGTTCTTTCATTCTCCCTACAGGGCATAACCAGTGCCCAACAGGAGCTTCCTGCCACCGCTTTGATTTCTTCTTTCCCACACCTGCTGCTCTGTGCAATGAAATCTGGACTCACTCGTACAAGGCCAGCAACTACAGTCGAGGGAGTGGCCGCTGCATCCAGATGTGGTTCGACCCAGCCCAGGGAAACCCCAATGAAGAGGTGGCAAAATTCTATGCTAAGGCCATGAGTGGGGCTGAGACCCATTGGGCCCATCCTGTCCTGCTCGGCCATGTTCTCCTGCTCTGGCTGCTCAGCTGATCTCCTTCCTTCTGATACCTAGACATCACAGCCCTGTTCAACCCCAGAGCTCCCAGTTACTCAGTCTGTGCCCCATAGTAGGGCCCTCAGAAAGCCATTTTAAATAAATAGACACCTCACATGTGTCTTGTGAATTATTAGGGGGTCACTGGAGATGCCACTGTTTTGCTTCCCGTTGATTGAAGCCAGTTAGACTTGGCCAATTCCCAGCTCTTGACACTTTGCTATGAACTGGAGCCAGATATTTAACTACTCTTCTAACTTAGGACACATTCATAGCTCCCAATTTCACTTTTCACTGTATCTCTAATCTAGAGCCAGGCCCAGAATTCTACCATTTAAATTGGTCCCAAGTCTTTCAGCGTTGCCTGCTCTGTAATAGAAGAGACAGGAAAGGGAGTTAGTTGCTCAGCATGCTCTGCATGGATAACTGGGAAGAGGTGAAGGGGCCAGAAAGAGCTGTTCCCCACTAACAGGTAATACCCACAAAACACTATCTGCAGGAACTATTCTAAATGCTTTCTATTTGTTCCTATAAAGTGTAGGTACCATTGTCTGCATTTTGCTTATGAGGAAACAGGCACATAAAAAGAAATTGGACAAAGTTACCCCTCCATAAGAGCTCAGATTTTACCCCATGCAGTCTGGCTCTTGAGAGTAAGCTCTTTTCCCTTGTGGATTGCGCAGATAGATATGTGTGTCCTGAAGGAATACTGGGTCTCTGCCTAACCAGAAGGGCTGGGCCTGAGCTGGTCTCTGGCAGAGCTAGGGCGAGAAGCCAAACCTAGTCTCCTAGAGTAGGTCCCTAACTAATGATTTGAAAGGTTTTTTTAGGCATTGTTCCCATATTAAGTATAGTTTGTAGCAGTTTAAATATGATAGGTTATGTTAAAGTAACATCCCTAGTATCTCAGTGGCCTCACTCAAACACTTATTTCTTGCTCAGCTACAATATTTAATGCATGTTGTGTATGTGTGGGGAGGATTCTGCTTCTCATGAACTCAAGCTTATGGAGGCTCCATTTTGTCACAGCCTTCCACAAAACAAGAAGCTATCGGATACTCTCCCTTGCAGTGGTAGCATATAGAGACTTTATAAATCTGAATTTCTGTGGGGTGTATAAGGGGAAGTATTCTAAGGAGTATAGTATCTGGATTCACCAAAATCTGAGACAAACCCTATTCCACCATGAATTTTGAGGGATTGATTGGAACAAAGTGGCAGTCAAAGAGGGAGTCTGTTCTTGGTGTAAATGGTGACCATGCCAGTAGAGATGTTTAGGAGAGTGGCCCATTGGCCAAAGATTTTTTTGGAAAAGAGTGTTTAATCCAGTTGGCACAAGTATAGGCTGCTAAATTGAGGGTTAGAGACCAGAGCCAGAGCAAAGAAAGGGATGCATCATATGACGAATCCAAAAAAGAACATGAAGTACATTACCAAAAATACTGAAACAGTAATCACAATCAATCTCCCTCACTAATTTTACTCATTCCTTTAAAATTATTTCTTGTTCCATGCTTGCGGCTTCCCTCCACAGAAGTCTTCTACTTTGGGACTGAAATTTTTCTGGAAATCTCAAGTCACATGGCTCTGATAGGTTGAATCATCCAAGTGTTAGTTTGTGGTGGTAATGATGTCAAATTCATAAGTCTATTTATTGTCAGTAAATTATAGCAGGAATCTTCAGGCAAACAAGAGGGGAGAATAAAAACCACCATTGACAGTACCAAATGGTCTGGTCAATCTAATACAGAAAGAGCCAATACCAGAATGAAAAAAGAAAACTTTTCACTAAGGTGTAATACATGAGAACACAGGCCTACTGGTGAATGCTGTATTTCATGGTCTCGGTTGATAAGTACTTTGAGGAAAACACACTACTATTGGAACCCAAAGAAGAAGAGGGGGATAAAGAGAGATACTCTTCTCTGTTAATGTAATCAACTGATTTATTTATTTTTTTAAAAATTTGTTGTGGTAAATACACAGGCAATAAAACATTTGCCATTCCACAATCTTCACATGTACAGTTTAGTAACATTAATTATGTTCATCATGTTGTTCAATCATCACCACTAATCATTCCTAAATTTTTCCATCAACTTTAATAATTTATTTTTGATTTATCTTATTTTGCCTGATTTCTATATATGATATGGACAGTGAATGTATTTACCAATCTTTGGTCTTATAATTTATTTTTAATAAATTAATTTTAATAATTTTAAATTTTTATTTAATATTCAAATTTTTTAAATTTTTATTGTGATTTGGGTGAAAGTTTACAGAGCAAATTCATTTTCCACACAGAAGTTCATACACATTTTGTTTCATGACATTGACTGCAAATCCACAAAATGTAACAGCTTTCTTCCCACTTTCTCCCTGTAGTTACTTCTTCCTAGTGTCCTTCTTTCCTATAATCTATTTTGTAGGAGGTGCAAAATTGCGACTAATACTAAAAGGTTATTTTAAACCAAAGAATAAAATCATCTTGGAAATGAATTTGTTGACAGTCATCATGAAAGCCCTTGCATATGAATACAGTTGTGCTTTTACCCATCCAAGATTGTCCACAATCACTGACTGTGATGGTTAAAGTTATATGTCAGCTTGGCTAGGCCATGATTCCCAGTATTATGTAAGTATCTTCCATTCTATGATCTGATGTAATTATACTCCATTTTGTGATATTATATAACTACTCCATTTTATGTGTTGTAAATCCTAACCTATCTTTGTTAATGAGGCAGGATTAATGTGGGGTTTATCTCAAGTCACAGCCTCACTTAAGTCACCACCCTTTATCACCCTTACTCAAGTAGCTGATGTAAAGGGAGCTTCCTTGAGAGTGGGGCAGACAACCAATATATATTGGATGCTCTGGTAAAACTCTCTCACTCTAGATCCTGCATCCAACTTGTCATCATCTACCCTCTGGTTCTTGGGACTTGAGCTAGCATCCTCTCTCTCATCTGACTTGCTGATTTTGGGATTTGCCAGCTTCTGTAGCCCTAGGAGCGAACAGCCTGTCTTCTGACTTGCCAAATGTAGGTTTGTAAGCCCCTCCAACTACATGAGTTATGAGGCGTCTCCAGCCTGACATCTGACCCACAAATTCAGGATTTGCTAGCCTCCACAACTACATGAACCATTTCCTTGAGATAGTTCTCTCTCTCTCTTTCTTTGTCTCTCAGCTTCATTAATTTTGCTTCTCTAGAGAACCCTAAGACACTCACCATTCATAGTTACACATTTACCTTCTACAAAAAATCATCTAGATGACTTGAGCTCCTCTTTTTGCTTTGACATCTTTCTCTGCATTGTGGACACAGTGGACAGAGAGCAGTTCTTATAATGCTGATGAACTAATTTTAAAAACATGGCGCATACCAATTATATACCTAATTATTTTTAGCATCCCTCTTTGTCTATGAGTGCCATGCTGTGAGGGAGCAAATTTTTGGTGCAATCTAGGAGTCCCTGGGAGGTGCACATGGTTAAGCGTTCAAATACTAGCAGAAAGGTGGCAGTTGGAACCCACCCAAAGGTGCCTCAGAAGAGCATGGTGATTAGCTTCTGCAAGGTGATATCCTTGAAAACTACAGAGCAATTCTACTCTGCACACATGGGGTCGTCCTCACTTGGAATTGACTTGAGGGCAACAACAACACCTGAGAAGCGTTGAGAAGATTTTGTTGTAAAAAAATGATTTGATACTTAAAAAAAAAATTGTGGTGAAAATACACACAGCAAAACATACACCAATTGAGCAATTCCTACATGTATAATTCAGTGACATTGATTATATTCTTCAAGTTGTACAGCCAATCTCACTGTCCTTTTCCATATTATTCCAGCACCATTAATATAAACTCACTGACCCTTAAGCCAAAATCTTCCCCTCTCTCTCCCTCCCTCCCACCCCTGGTAAACTAAACTCACTAACACTGAGTGACTCACAGCGACCCTCACTGGGTTTCCAAGGCTGTAAATCTTTATGGAAGTAGATTGTCCCATCTTCCTTCCTCGGAGTGGCTGGTGGGTTTGAACTGTTGACCTTCTGGTTATCAGCCAAATGCCTTATCCACTAGGCCACCAGAACTACTTGGTAGCCACTAATTATTTTTGGTTTCTAAACATTTGCTTATTTCATGTAAGTGAGATTATATAGTATTTATCCTTTTGAGACTGACTTATTTCACTCAGCATATGTTTTCAAAGTTCATCCATATTGTGGTATATATCAGAACTTTTTTTTAGGCTGAATAATATTCCACTATACATATATACCATATTTTGTTTATCCATTCATCTGTTGATGGATATTTCAGTTATTTCCACCTTTTGGCTGTTGTGAAAAGTGCTGCATTGAACACCGATGTACATGTGACTATTTGTATTGCTGCTTTCCAGTCTTTTGGATACATAACTAAGAGTGGAATAGCTGGGTCAAATGTTACTTCTGTGTTCAAGTTTTTGAGTAACTGCCAAATTGCTTTCCACAGTGGCTGTACCATTTTAAATCCCCACCAGCAAGGGATGAAGGTTAGCAGTTTTATTATTCTGAATTTAGGACCTAATCTTAGAGAAGGGCAACAGAAAAATAAATAAATAAATAAATAAACATTGCTGGGAAATGACCTTAATATAACAACTTTATCAAGCAAACTTCTTAAACTTTAACTCTTCTAGAAGTGAGGAATCCTATTATTTTTATGTTATATCTTGACCTGAGAGGATGATGTGAATCAGTACAAAAGCACAAAAATTAATACGGTTTTTGAGAAGTGAAAGTTTACACTTGAATTGCGTGAGGCCCCAAACACTCCATCAGGGGATAACACACAGGAAACAAAAAAATAACTTTTACTTCTTCGTGTTAAAAACTATATACTCATAAGCCATTTTTTCTTAGGAGCAACTAATATTATTTAAAGCTTTAAATTTCACTTCTTAAAATAGAGTTAATCTGAAGAAGCACTTCTGTACTGGCAGA